AGAACAGCCATCCAAGTGCTCTCGCCTTCGGTCACAGCTGCTTTGCACTTCATGAAGGATCAGGCAGGTCACACTTATGATCTAAAGTTCGCAAATGTAGCTACAACCGTGGAATTCATGTCGAACATGTACAGGTGGTTTGTGCTGATGGATGTCTGCAATTCCCAACATCACATTCAACAAAACAATCCTGATACAAAAGAATTTTCTGACCCCGAAGACCTAAGGCTGCACTGGCTTGAACTTATTTTTTTGGAGTACGTGGAAGACTTGAAGGAGGCCAGCTTACGGGAGAACTTTTTAAGCAAGGAAACATACCATGCATTAGTGTTTACAACCGTCTCAAATGTAGAGTGCATAAGATTTCTTTTGAACGAGTGCAACTTTCAGTTTGTTCTCACAAGAAAATTTTTTAGCGACCCAATAGAATCCTTTTTTATATTTTTGAGATGAACAGCAGGCTGCAACGATGTCATGGACGTACGAAGTGCCCTTCGTGAGGTAGAGAAGATGCTGAAGACAGGAATCGTTGCAGCATCACAGAAAAGTAACGTGAGCACTTCTGCATCATTCTGCTCTTCACGAGCAGTATTTGTCACTCAAGTGGATGGCAGCACAGTCGCGGTATCTGTAAATGTGAAGCTTGCTCAGCAAGCACTTCGAGAACTGTGCATGTCGACAAGCAGGTTCCTACCTACTCCACACATGGCTGCCATTGCACTTGTCGCTGGATACATATCTCATGTGAGCGAAAAAACCGTGTGTGACAGTTGCATATCTCTAGTCCAGAAGCTGAAAGGGGACTTTGGTATGGATGGGCTGATCGCACACAGAGACAGAGGTGGTCTGTTCTATCCTACACAGCAGCTTATCAGAGTATTGCATGCTCTTAAGCTGTATGAAGACATTATGCTGTCTGACCGCAAATCTTTGCGAAAGCCTCATGAGGAGTGCATGAAGCACAGCATCAATATTGTGACAAATTTACCTGTGTTGCGATGTGATCAATGTGATGAAAGCCGCAGGAGAAGTTTTGTGGAATTGATATGCAAAAAATTTATGCAACCATTGCATTCTAACCACGCATTGGACATCACTGACCAAAATACAGTGGCCAAATTGTATTAAAAAAAAGACCCTGTAGTGCAAAGTGCTTAAACTTTGAAATGTTTGTATGAAGTGATGCATCTGGTTTTGCTTTGCTTTTTTTTATGCGCGCATATGTGCTTCATCAACAGTGCCTTTCCTACAAGCTGGTATGTTTGTTTTATGCTCGGTGCTCATTGTATGAAAGTGGTGCTTCTGCTTTTTTTTTTACTTTTTTTTATGAATGGAATTTAATTTTGTTTCTTACAAGACCATGTCTTTCAGTAAGAAGCGTTTCCTTGTCTAGCTCAGATGTTTTTTGTGCGTTTCTTGTTTTATTCCTTTTTTATTGATGCTAAGTCATTGTCTGTTTGATTTAAAGAATGTTGAAATAACGTCACTCTCTTGTTTGTTTTGTTCTTTTATACTCATGTGCAAACACATTGATTGTTTTCCCTTGTTATTTTTCTGTTTTATGCACTTATATGTATGTATAGTACCACGCCGCCAAGATCTTGTAGAAGATTGCAGTATTTATAAAGAAGTGAATTGAATAAATTCATCATACTGGCTCTTTTCTGCCGTCATCCTGATGTTTTTGTTTGTTGCATTCTTGGATCCTTCGCTTTATGCATTTTCAAGCCAACAATGAACTTCAGTTATGCAGGTGACCTCGCAGATACAATTAAAAAAAAAAGAAAGCTGGCAAGTACAAGCTTTCCACGCTTTCTACTCTACCACGAAAGTGAACCCTGACTGAACAGGTAGTGTCAGAACCTCGCGCCGCCTTGTGGTGGATCCGAGAAGCAGTCACGGCTAATCAAGGACAATGGGAGAGTGGGCGACGCAGCAGGCATCTAAAAATAGAGGCTCTGGTTTTTGTCTTTGCTTTTTTAAATTTAGGTGAACACGAGCTCTTACCATTGCCTATTGAAAAGATGCATCAATGTGCCGTTACCTTGTAGTACTGTTGAAATAATGCAGATTTTCAACTTTAAATGCGATTACCTCAAAACATGCTTTTTTTGTGCTCATGTTCCTTTTCTTAGCAACCACAGTATCTAGAATCACAGTTTTCAGCCTGTATTTAGATCACATAATAGGAAATATACTCAATCAAAATTTCTGTTGTTAGGAAGTGCTCTTCTGCAACAATACATCTAAAAATAGCTATTACCAAGTGATAATTAGGTACCTGAAGAAAAAAATTTATAAAGAATGAGCATCACAATTTTCAGTGCTAAATTTGCTTCAGTAAGAAGAGAAATGGTTCATCATCCCAATGATAGTAAAATAATTACTGTAGCTCTTATGGTAAACTTCGCCTAAAACACATGGCGGGTATAGGGCCTACCCTGCTCCCTTAAGTAGCTTTAAAGTGGCCCTGAAACACTTTTTCATGTAACCATGAAATGGATTCACTAAAAGAGCTTATTGCCTCGCGAATTCAATGCCGCAAAAATTTAAAGTTTGTCCAGTACGAGTGGAGCTACAAAGATTTGTTGCATGCTCCAATTTCATTCTCTCTTCTCTCGTCCCGATGAAAGCGCTGGAGACATAGCAGGGCAGAATGGGAAGGGCAAAGAAAAACACGATCGTGATCTAGAGCACTTTGTTCCATTTTTTCATCCATCACAATAAAAGTTTTTCATCCATCCATCCATCCAATACGCGCCTTTCAACTATGACCGCACATGCTCGCGTGGACAAGCCGTAGCTTCTTGCGGCAATCCCTGTAACGACCGAGTGCGCCATATACAAATCAGCCAATGGCTGATAGATGGCCTTCTACGAGTGATTTTTGAGCGTCTTCCATCATTTGTTGAGAGAAGAGAAAGTAATTATTAGCTGACTTTGATAATTTATTGTGAATTCCAGGCCGCGTGCTGTGCTATAACATTTACCTCGTGTGTTCTTGGGAGATTCTACTACCGATCATCAGTGTATTCAGACCATGCTCAAAAAGTGTTGCAAAGCCCCTTTAAAACCTTTAGCAAGCACAAAAGAATATTGATGTATGATAATGCAACATAATATAGAAAACCCAACTACAGAGAAGTGATGTCACTGAAATAAAGATGATACATCAGTCAATAGAGCAAACAAACTCCCAACATATTAAACGTGATACATTTCTTAGCGAACTTCGGCGACTTTGACCGTACCTGTCTGCCTATCCGCCTACGACGTTTAGCTCTCCTAGGCGTTCCTATAAGTGTATCTATACCAAAATTGGTATGCCATAACATGGCTGTATGACGAGCATAACTGACAAGTCCTAAAATCATGACGTATGTCACGAACGTCATGATTTCCATTTGATGGTCTTGCTGCTCTTTCTGTGGTTTCGTTCACATGACATATTGCTAAACTGGTATGGTATGACATGAATGCATGGCGAACATAAGTGACAGACCCTAATGTGGAAATCATGACATGTGTCACGTAAGAACATGACTACGTGCTAGGCTCATGATCGTTCAAACATGACAATCATGACATGCGCGTCGTGTAAAGGATAACTACATGCCACGTTCATAGAGTGCTCACAGCCGTTTTGCTAGCTTCACATGTACCATATTTGGTACCATGCGACGAGATAAGATGACGAAGGTGATGACACCTCCAAACATGATAATCATGATATGCGTGTCATGTAAAACATGACTACATGTTACGCTCATAGCGCACTCGCGTCCGTTTTGCTAGCTCCACATATACCAAATTTCGTATTACGTGACGTGAATGGATGACGAACACAAGTGCCAGGCACAAACATGATAATGATGGTATGAAACTGATTTACAGCATAATTTATGTCCACCTTGTTATGTGCTGATTTCAAAGTGACATATCGAGCTTCTTTTTTCGAGCTCTTCTTCTATCGAGCTCTTATTTTTATATATTAATTCCCACTGTGCGTGGGATCTGCCAATTTTATTGGTCAGTGTGATGTACAAGTTTTCTGAACATACACTTTAACGGAGCAGAACCTATTGGAAGAGTCCACTCATTTGACAAATTCTGACATAATAGAATATAGCTTTACAAATGCGACAAACTACTATGTTTAGAATTTGGAACTTCTATGAAAGGCTAAAGTTTCTTTTCCTTGTCATTCATGATCATATGTATTAGCATATATATAAATTATAATATCAGCATTGAATTAAACATTTTAGGCACGGGCATGACGTGTATATTCCCACCTACCCCCTTTCTTTACAAGTGTTCTAAATTTAGTTTTCTTCCAATAGCTATCAATACTTGAACAAACTGTCAGACACTACAGTTAAACCAACACCCATAAGTAACTTTCAATAAAAAATTAGGTACATGCTTTCTTTAATTTGCTATTTGATATCTGTTTTAAACATGTGTGTATGTAGGCAATGCAGACACAAATCAAAGATCACTGTTGAAATTATTAGTGAGGTTTCGGAAAACAATATTAATGTGTGCTATTTCTTCTCTATTTCTAGTAATGTTTTGCTGTGTTGTCATTTCTGAATCCTGGCAAGAAATGTCAGCACTTTCTTTTGTTGCTTTATTGTTTTCATTCCACTCCTGCAATCAAGTGCTATTGGGTTTACAGTATTACTAAATCAAAATAAAGAATTGTGTTCAAGCACTCCCAAGCATTTCAGTGTGCTAAGAAGGCTGACATGATAACCTCTTATTAGTGAACATCTGTATTACGCATTACAGAGACAAAATTGTCACATAATGTAGATGATGTGTTGAAGTTATTATACTAGATTGAACACAAGGAGGATCTTTCTTGTCCACAGCAGGTGGCCTTGCAAATCGCCTGCTCTTTGCACTTATCCATGCAGCATTACTTTTCGTATTGGGCCATAGTATCTGACAAATAGCCACATTGAAATTCCAATTAATTCATAAACAAAGAATGCCACTTGCAATTTCGCCCATGTTCTTTGTTTTATTGCTAGAAAAAATAAAATATTTCATGACATGCACACATAACACACATAAAAAGACCTCAGTGGAATGACGCACGTATCACATTTTCCAAACCCCATGCTTGAAGAACACAAGATAGGATACTGACAAAGCAAAATAGAAATGCTGACTTTCCATTTCACATGAAAAAAATCATGAACATAAATTATCTAGCTTTACAGGCAATGCACCGCTGACTTCCACCCCTGAAAATTTTTTGACCTGCCTTATAGCACAAACATTTTAAAGTGAGCATGTTGATACATATGACATCTTGACAACGGCACAATAAGTGTGTCTAGTTTAATGTTCTTGCACAATTTACAAGATGTCAATGAATGGCTACATCTGTAAAGAAACCTTTCTGGTCATTAAAAAATTATAATAAACAGTACAAGTTATATTATAGTACGTCTTCATTTCTTGAGAAGAAGGGGTGACAAATCTTGCCATATGTCCATATTCATTTTCATTTTTTTTTAAAAGGAAGAGATGAGGGTGAATCTTGTCACACAGGTGCTATATGTTTGATATCGTACTCATACACATTTGGCAGCCTGAAAAACATTCAGTATTACATACAGGAACAGCATGCATTTGCACAAATTTTTAACACTCACGTCCACTCCTGAACTTTATAAGACTAGTGTTTATAGAGACTAGCATATATTTGTGCATATTAACAAATATTGCTTTCTGTTCTCAATAAAAAAAATTCACACATCGCTGAAAGCCATGTGCACTTTATTACATGCGTACTAGTCCCAGGTTTTCAAAAGAAATGAAGCGTTACGAACATTGCCCCTCATCATTGAGGCAGTGCAGACAACAATAGCATGATATTACAAATATTTCTTAATCATAGCTCGCCTTTTACTAAGTGCGCTGCAGAAACTGCTGTGTAGTTTGACATTCATGATACCCACACAAACATTTAAGGCAACACTAAAAAACTCTGGCACTAGCACACAGTGCGTTTTAAACACCGACTAAATTCAGAGAAGTGGTTTAAGTGCACTAATACCCATGACTTTTGCTGCTGACACTGTGGCAGTTCTGAGACACTAAGCAGCGGTGTTTATGGCTACACAAATTATACCATGCCTTCATACTAACTTTAAAAACACACCTTCAATTGAAATGCCAAGATCTTTCACAGTTGAAAACATGTAGGGGCTGACACACAGACTTAATCAACTATACCACAGTCATAGAAGTCTAGACAAGGCACCAATAGAAAAAGACTCATAACATCAGCAGCATGAGCACCAGATGTGAACATTATATGCAGGGTCTTGAAGCTCAAAACTTTATGTGTGCAATATGAGAGCGTAATGAAACTAGTTTTGTCTACTGTCCTCTACATCAACTAGACAGCACTATAAAACTAGCTCGGACAATCACCTATCTGTAATTAATTAGACAACTTTTGAAGTCTTGTTTTAAATGTATAATCTTCAATAGAGAAGTTGTAGAACCTATTAATTAGTGTCTCAATGATTTATTTGCATGATAAGAGCAACTGTGATTTTAATTAGGGCTTCAAGAAAGTCCACGAGAAAGAGTTCCACGTGAACAGATTCTTGTGCACAGCAACATTAGCATTCTCAAACATATCACAAAATTATCATCGATGCCGCAAACACACTGACAGCATTAACAGGTCTCCAGCAATGGAGGTGGACCAATTCTTGACTTCCACACATTCCAAGATAGCCAGCCTGTTGAATCAATGAATTTAACGGGGCATTGGACATATGCAGTAAATTGTTTATTCCGATTCCAGAAGCTTTGTTGGCATTTGTGTTCTTACTGTTGACAACTGATATAGATGGCAAGGAGGTTACATCAGTGAAAAGCGATACATTGAAAATGAAGTGTGTGGGTTAAGGTTCATCCCTTTTGCTTATGGTCTGTTTATAACTTCAGTCTGCATTAATGCTATATTGATTGTTCACTGGTAATAACATGTTTCAGTGTTCTAATGATACTGTATACAAGGCTCTAGTTACATGGTACTTTACTTCAAATTACACGTGCTTTCTTAAAACACGGAATAAGAAAACAACGGTAGGTATACTTAATGACAGAAATTATATAGACATGAAGGGGCAAATGGGGGCAACACAGCTGGCATTGACCAATAAGGATAGTGGGTGGGGGAGAAATCTGGCATTGATCGGATCAAAATTTTGAAGTTCATTCATCGAAGGTTTATTTTAGTGTTATGCGATATGTCTAGAACTAAATACAGCCGCTAACTAGGGCTGTTAAGGTATGTGGCCTGGATAGAGGGGAAGGGGTGAGCCCCCCCCCCCCACCCCCCCTCCACCTGTAGCTGACACCTCTGTGGACACAAATTAACAGGGTCTAAAATTTTTCCATTGAACATTTTGCATTTATACTTCAAAAAAGTTGGATATTTAATTATTAACCCAAGCTTAAGAGGTCATCAAACAACACTAAGTTGGTCGTGTTCTTGTAGTGCACACGTGGATGTTTTTTTAAGCTTAGCTTCAGTTAACTGAACAACATTGCATTTAAATGTGGCTATGCCTATGTTGCTGGAAGTGCTGCTATTTAATATAAAAAAAATTTAATAAATAAAATTCAGTACAGATTCCATCTCATGCACCCTCTTTACAATGTAGATGATGCAGGAAGGGCAAATTGTCATTACACGATGTGAAGACCCTTTTATCAAATACGTCTGCATTAAAACTCAGCAATAACAAAAATAGGCTACGTATTTTACTGCTAGTTATGAATAATTTGCACACTTGTCAACACACAGTAACTACCTAGCTCTGCATTTGAGTCAAGACAAACACACGACAGTACAAAAACTTTTTAAAGCCCAGCTGTCGCTGTATAGCTGGTCATGTACGGTGGCAATGTAACCAAGTCAATGAATTCTTTTTCATGCACTAAGTGCTCATTATGCTTATGAACTGTGTTCCCAAAACAACAAAGACAGACGAGTTTAAAGGCTACAGAGAAAAAAGTAAGCGTGAGAATGAGCAAGACAGACAATGTCTGCAAAATCGTAAAATGTAAGCACAGTCTTATTTCCCTCATCACAAGTGTTGATCCCATTGGCTGCCGGAAATATATTCAGTGTTCAGTGCACCGACAAGATGCGGGTCACTATAGAGTTTCCGCAGTTGGACACACATACTGCAGGATTGCAACATCTGGCTGATCACGAACCCATTCGGTGAGCTTGTTGTCTTCTCGTTAGTGGCTGCATTTCAAAGTGACAAACTTCTTCATCAGTGTCATCACCAACTTCATTACCTGCATTCAGCAGACTTTGCTCTGACCCCAAACGCTCGTAAACGGTATCCTCTTCTGCTGAAATGTATAATTACGACAGATGGTGAGCACTTTAACTCTCTGAATAAGCTTGATAACACAAAGTGTAAAATTACTATGTTGCTTTCCTTGAGTTCAATATCACCCCATTTCAATCATTGTATGGATAGTTCATTCAGTAAACTGCTCAGTTACACACATACATGAGTACACACCACACGAACCTCTGAATTTGCACTTATAACAGCTCAAGCTCAGACAATATCAAGTGACCTTTAATTTTCCATATGTAGAAACTGATGATGATGTGTGGGGTTTAACGTCCCAAAACCACCATATGATTATGAGAGACGCCGTAGTGGAGGGCTCCGGAAATTTAGACCACCTGGGGTTCTTTAACGTGCACCCCCATATGTAGAAACTGCCCATATATATATATATATATATATATATATAAATCCTTAAAGAAAGAAACAACTTACACAGGATAAACATTAAAAATACATGATGATAAGTTAGCATATTGATGAACCAGTATGAGCGAAAATTAGCTGCATCTAGTGCCACCGGTAATATTTGGTGGTGTGCAAGAGAAGAGGCAGCTGTGATCATAAGAAAGGAAGAAGCGCATGCACTATTTGGTTTGCGAGGTTCAACCAAAGTGTTCTCAATAAACCTCACCAGCACTTTAAGGAAACAAGTGAGACATCCAGAAAAAAAAAAGGAGAAAAAACAACAAAAGAACAGAAGACAATCTTCACTGAATCCACTCGCATAATTGCATACATTTAATTATAACCAAAAGTGCACCCACGGTACCCATGTTTACTACCTCAACAGGCAGTTGGTTCTATCCAGCAACAGTTTGTACCAAAAAACAAAGAGAGAGAGAAAGAAAAAGAGATGCTCCATTTATAGACAGCCTTCTAAAAAAAAATTTACGGGCTATTTCATCTTTTGTCCCACATGTTCTCTAGGCACAGGGAGACATATTTAAAAATGTCTAGGCCAGTACGACCACTTGGAAGGCATTCAATCTGTTGTAGAGAGTGCATTCAATCTGTTGATCTTTCTTCATATAATTAAAGTTAGTGAATTCCTCAAGTGACACAGCTGTTACAGATGAACAAAGGTAAGAGCATCTGAAGATGAAATGCAAGAAAGTTTTTTCAATTTCCTAGTGTGTTAATATAGTATTGTGTGCACGGATCCCACGTCATATTAGCATACTACAGCAAAGTTCTAATCAGAGTTTTATAGATGGCAAGTTTCATTGATGCCGTACAATGTCTTATACCATTTCTTTGAAGAAACCAAAATCATACTTTACGCTACATCCAAGTATGTGTACTAATACACAGATTCCAGAGGCACAGTGTTTATGCAAGACAGATATCTAAGCAGCTGCTGCTTCTGAGTTAGTCATGCGTACATTTTTCTTAGTGTTTAAGACCATTTGCCATTCATTGTACACAACCTCTAAGAAATAATAAAACATAGACTAGCCTAAAACAACAAACAACACTACTCTGACCCCCTAAAGCTTTATAATGTCATCTGAAGCCTAATTCAATTTTTGTATCTTTAGTAGTGCATTAACATATTCCCCATCGCAAGCTAAGATGAGCAAGAGCATATGTACAAAAAAAGGTCTTTTAATACATGTTTGCAGACTCCAAATACAATGACTGAATGAAACAATGCAGTCATATAAACTTGGGTAGCTGTGTTCTGTATTATTAATTTTCAAGATGACATTTCAGCTACACTGCAACTTTACTCAGCCGGCCTAGCTTAATATCTTTGTTATAAAATAAGCATATATTTTTTGCATGCAATGCTTATGTTTCAGGAAATATGCAAGCATAACAATGCAAGTAACTTTAATCTAATCATTTGTGCACCATCAGTTTCAAACACCAAAGAGCTGATCAGAAAAAAAAAAGTAACAGACATAAGTATCTGCAAGAAAAGTTGCTTTTGCATCGAACTGCCTGGTTGTCTGCTGTCTTCAATATGATTTTGTTATTCAATAAATATCACTAGATTAAAAAGATTATCACAAAGCACATTTGTACTTTCAATCATTTTCAATGGAAAGTACACAAAAGCACCAAGTTATTCCATCAACATATGTGAAGTTATTGGGGAGACCATTACCCTGTTAATTCTTGGTGCAGTTCACAAGCTGCCAGTGTTTTCTTACAATTAAAGTTGTTTACAACTCATTACTACACTACTTAACACTATACAGATTTAAAAATAGTTAAATGACAGCCTCAGGATTACTACGACGCATTCATAACCCCACTACTGACCCTTTTTGTACACAGCCAGCGGTTCACTTACCAGTGCCCGAAAATAATTTTTATCCATAACATTACATATTGAATTTCTGGGTACTCTCATGCATAAAGCAACATTACCAAACAATAATCATGGCTGTCATGTTCAGCTTAGATTTCTGGTAGGTATGACTCTCTATTTCTGATTAACATTTGTTTTATTGAGTTTGCTGAAGCGTTCAGTTTTGGAAACTCTCGACTACCTACTTCTTTTACTAGGCCATGTATGTGGTTGCACTTATCCAAGCTCAGTTTGCTGGCTTCATTTTATCTTGTTCATTTATTGGCCCCATGATATATTTTGCACCTATTATACTTCAACTAACACTTGGGCCAGCAGTATGCCTTCAGAAAACATTAAAAATAATGCGATGCTTAGGTTCGTGCCACCTAAAACTAGAGTGTTTGAACAGAGTGTTACACCATCTTAGTGCTACTTTTACCGATACTGTCTTCCCCAACTGCACATGCACAGAGCATACTGGGTCCTGTTAAGCTTACCAGGACATTTCTTGTGCATACCATGTTTGCATAACACAGCAGTGCCTAGACTACCTGTCTCAGTTCCCCTTTTCTTGTGCTACTTGCCCTCCTTTGTGATAACATCAAAGAAATAGTAAAATCAGGCATTGCTTAGCCTCATCTCATACTGAGGACATTGTATATGCATTGTTTTGCCATTACAGTGATCAGTTGTTTGTTTTGATGCTACCAAACCTGAGAAAAAAACACAATCAAGCCCTCCTAATAACAACCTAGTGGTCATGACATGTTTCGGCTTCCTCAGTTACTTTTAGCATATAAAGCATAGATGGCTATACAGCATAGTTATGCTGTGGTGCCATTTGTTCGCTGGAGATTGGCATACTTCCTTGCCTTGATGACACCCCCTTTGGACTAGAAAAAAAAAACACTCTTCAAAACAATGTCAAAAAGAGCGTTTACATTCTGTCCTCGACTTGAGATCAAACTAAGTGATGGCTAAACTTACTTTGTTTTTAATGTTGTCACAAGAGAAAGGAAGCATCACAAAAGGTCTAGTATTGAAGCAAGCAGCCTAGATGCTATCACCTAAATTCTTATGCAGATATGGCATACCGTGGGAGTATTGCACTAAACTCCATGCAAGCACAGTTTTGGCAGCCGGTATTGCTAATGGTAATGCTAGAGTTGAGAAGAATTTGTTGCTGGGCGAACTGGTGCATCTTAACACAAAAGGAATAACTGCACTACCTGAAACACACGTTAAACCAGACACAAACAAAAAAGCACAAACTTGCAACTACCTTTTATTTGACATAGTCCACCTACGTAGAAACCATCACCAAGCACGCACATTTCAGGAAGGTATTGCCACAAAAAATCTAAACACCGCAAGACGTCATCTTAACGATGCTCATCCATTAACCTCATCTTAGTGCCATGAAAAAAAAAAAAGAGGAGAAAGAAAGAAGATCCACTAATGCAGTCATTTCCCTCCTAAAGTGGTATGCTTTGCAAATTTCCCTTGCTCTATTATCATAGCAGCAGCTCAATACCTTCCCATCTTCGCACTTGTGAACCGATGCTGAAAGATGTGAAGATATTGAGACACTGCCATGATAATAGAGCAAGAAAATTTTTGAAGCATACCATATAAGGAAGAAGGATGACTGCATCAGTGAATAATAGTTTTTTTTTTCATAGTACTGAGATGAGATTTATCGATGAGTGTTGTTAAGATGACATCTTATGGCCTTTAAGATTTTTTTGCTGTAGTACCTCTCTGAAATGGGCATTCTTGGCTATGGTTTCTGTGGAATGTACTTAAGGGTGGACTGTATGAAATGAGAGCTTTGCAAGTTCGCACTTGTGTGCGTCTGTCTGGTTTTTATATGTGTGTCAGGTAGCGCAATCATTCCTTTTGTGGTAATGCTAGACGCCTCACAAACTGTAAGACAGTACAATAGCTTCTATTCGGACAAGTTGGAGCTTGCTGAATGACATGAGATGTAGTGCAAAATCTAAAAAAGAATGAATAAGAGGCAGACAGATACAGTAAAAGCAGTACTACTATCACGACTGATTTATTTGGCAAGAAGTTGTTACATATACCCATTTACGACTTGAATCTTTCCTATGGTAGAACAAAACTTTTTAATGTTCGTTTATACACAACAGGCCATTGAAAAGCATTCGAAATAATAAAGGAGATGGTAAGTATAATGGTCTTCACAGGAGAACCAGCATGCCCCAGTTTCATTTTTTATGGCTGGGCTTCAAGACTGTCATGTGACACTGTGATGCTACCTCGTGTTTTCTTTTTTTCCCCTACATGTTTAGCACACTGGGCTCCAATGGCATTTTGGTGTCCAGTGTACTGGAAATAAACACACTCTCACATTGCCAGCAAACTTCTAATCACAAGAGCTGCCTTTTTTGCAACAATGTTTCAAGAAGAGATAAGGCAACTCGCACAATTTAAATTATTCAAATTATGCAAAGATAGCTTCTAAAATAATTTTACATACTTGACCACATTGTGTGCACGCGTTTCTGCATGAATGATGTCATTACTCTGAGGTGCCCCCATAAGAAAGCGGAGCTGAACGAGGAACTACACATAAAAACACATTGCTCGATTCTTACAGAAGCTGCTAAAGTGGTTTCAGTTTCGAATGTAGCTCTCCTTGATTTTCTGCACCAATTTTTTTG